CAGTCCCACCTCTCTCTTCTCGCTCTCATCCCTCCTTCTCCTCCAGAGCAATGGCTTCCAGCTCTGCCATCTCTTAGGAGGTGATGATACACTCCCTCTTCTACTGTGTTTAAAGACAACATGGAATTTGCACTGCAGTAATGTGACTTGACTCGAGTTGCAAATTTAAGGACTTGTGACTTGCTTGACTAAATGAAGAAAATGATATGAATTTGACTAAAATTGACACGGAAATTGACCGTATTCATAAAAGGAGATTTGGTGTTGCACAATTGGCAAAGCCAGGATATCAGACTCGACCATCACAACCTTAAACTTCATTCTCCACTTCAAAATGAAAGATATAGCCAATCTGTCCAATATATATGTATATATGTGTACGTAACGCATATTATTTTCTTGATTATGCAATATTATGAAAACATTATGAATCTATTCAAATAACTGACAAATTGTGCACAATAAGACTAAAGACCGTTATTAAGGAAGCAGAAAGGGTCAATTTTTATTTCATGTTGTCTTTTAAAGATGGAAAGCGTAAACAGGAGGGCGGAGTTTTTGTCTGACAGTCACGTCTCTTTAAATTACCGGAAAGAACGGTTCAACCTGATGCAATCAAAAGAGGTTAAATGACAGTATGTATAATTAAACGTGGAGATATGAAATTGCTGTGAAAAAAATCGTGACAGATGTGTCATGAAATGGAAACTGCACTGTTCTGGAGGGCTGGATTTTGATTTAACACCATTACGGACTGTGTTTGTGCTTTTTATCTTGTTTTCTCAAAATTATTTATCGAATCGTGGTGTTGTGTAGGAAGTTACATTTATCCCGTGGGTGCCTGCTCACATTAATCTTACATTTAACAAATATGAATCATGCAAGAGGCATTACAAGAAGAATGGAATTAATTCTAGTGAAGTGGAATTGCTTGAATGAACGAGTCAGCTACAGATGGCTTTTTATGATTGCTTTTTTATTATTTGTTCTTTGCTTTTCCTGCTTTATTAAATTAAACATAAGTCTACTGAATATTATTGTGACATTTAAAGGGATATTTCACCCCAAAATAAAATGTATGTCATTTACTCACTCTCATGTCGTTCCAAACCTTTATGACTGACTTTCTTTCTCCCAAAAGTAGTTTTGAACAATGTAACTGGTGGCTCTTTTCCATGCAATTTAAATGAACGTGGACTGGAGCTTTTTCAAGGTTCAAAATCGAGTATGACTCATATACTATTCCTAGTCTTTGTGAGAGGAATAGACCAAAATTTATGCTCTCCTAGCTCCCCTTGCCCATTCCATGAGAGAAGGATCAATGTCCAGTTTGTGAACGAATCATTATTTTGAACCAAATCTGTTCAATGAATGATTTGTTGATGAATTGGACTGAAATGTCAACTCGCTGACCGTTTGCAGTGATTAAGAGCTTGCTGGAGACTTACATTTTGGTCACAAAATGCTCACAAAAATCTATCATATGATTTCAGAAGACTATACTGTATGATGTCAAATGGGACACTTTTATGATGCTTTTATGGCATTCCAGTCCATATTCATTGTAATGGCATAGAAAAGATGGCATTCTTTTTTTCCTTGTTTGTGTTTCTCGGAAGAAAGAAAGCCAGGTTTGGAATGGCATGAGTAAATAATGAGCAAAGTTTCATTTTCAGGTGAACAATTTCTTTTAGATTTATTTCAGCTGTGTTTTACTTTGCGTCACATACTGGAGAGATTATACTGTTTTGCCAACACTTCACGCATTGATTTTTCCTCCTGTGTTTCAAACTGCCACACAGACGCTGATCCATCACTGTTCAGATTAGATTTTCTCGAATTCTCCTTTTCTCGGTTTCTGCTTTCATAACGCACACAAACAGCAAAGGTGTACACGCATGCTGATAGCCCATTGGATCAGACTTTTATCCGGTGAGGGTCCACGAGTGAGAAACCCTCCAGAAGCCACACACACTTAGACAAAACAAACAGTGCCCACACACCCTTCCCGTACCAGTACCATAAGTTTACAGCCCTCAAGAGTCCACTTATAAACCTTGTATTTGTTTCCCTCTCCCACGGCTGTGCCAGCTCAACGGAATTCTGGGATGGCGTAGGATGGTTCAATCGGTCAACCTGCTCTGTTAAAAGGTAGAGATTACCCACAGGGCCGTGCGGTGGTATGCCTGTTATCCAGCTTTAACAGTGAACTGAACGGTTCAAGCAGCAAGCAATCACGTACAGGCAACATGACCCTACTTTTACCTCACAGCTGTCCACCGCTGGGACCGAGGGATTGGATCAGTATTAAAGAGTCAGGCTTCTAACCGCATGGATCGTGTGTTTGGACAGATATGGTTAAAATGAACATTTTAAAATGATTTACTCACCCTAGTTTCAGTCCTGTGTGACTCTTTTACGTATAGAACCCAAAAGAACATGTTAGGTTGAATGTTGATGCTGCTCATTTCCATACAGTGGCCATCAATCTCCAAAAAGGACCTAAAAATGATCATGAAAGTCTTCTAAGGCCATACAATAGCTTTTTAAGAGGAACATACCAAAAAGTTCATTATTAATCATTTGAAAGTCTTGCCCTCAGCTACAGCTGTCAAATCTCATTCACGTTTCCTATTCAAATAATCTATGTGAAGATGAAGGAATGAGATGAGGCTGAGTAAATGATGACAGAGTTTTCATTTTGGGGAGAATTAACATTTTATCTATTCTTTTATTGCAGTAGTTTTCAACATATTGCAAAACTTAAAAACAACAACATTTTGTTCATGTTAGTTCACAGTGCAGTAACAAATGTTAACAAATACAACATTTGATTTTAATAATGTATTAGTAAATGTTGAAATGAACTAATAAATGGTGTAGAGGCAATGCTAATTCTTAGTTCATATTAACTAAATTAATTAACTAATGTTAACTAAAACCTAAAGTGTAACCCATATATATATATATATATACACAGTATCTCACAAAACTGAGTACACCCCTCACATTCCAGCAAACATTTTAATATATCTTCTCAAGGGACAATACTGTAGACATGAAACTTGGATATATTTTAGAGGGGTCATTGTGCTGCTTGTATAGCAGTATATATTTACTGTCCTCTGAAAATAACTCTCAAAATACAGCCATTATTGTCAAAATAGCTGGCAACAAAAGTGAGTACACCCTAAGTGAACATGTCAAAACTGTGTCCAAAGTTTCAATATTTTGTGTGAGCACCATTGTTATCTAGCTCTGCCTTAATCCTCCTAGGCATGGAGTTCACCAGAGCTGCACAGGTTGTTGCTGGGATCCTCTTCCACTCCTCCATAATGACATCACAGAGCTGCTGGATGTTAGACACATGGTGCTTCTCCACCTTCCACTTGAAGACGCCCCACAGGCGCTCAATAGGGTTTAGGTCTGGAGAAATACTTGGTCACTCCATCACCTTCACCTTCAGCTTCCTCAGCAAGGCAGTTGTCATCTTGGCGGTGTGTTTGGGGTCGTTATCATGCCGTTCGGCACAGTTTCTGAAGGGAGGGTATCATGTTCTGCTTCAGAATGTCGCAGTACATGTTGGAATCCATGTTTTCCCCAATGAAGCGCAGCTCCCCAGTACCAGCAGCACTCATGCAGCCCCAGACCATGATGCTACCACCACCATGCTCGACTGTAAGCAAGACACAATGTTCTTGGTACTCCTCACCAGGGCATCTCCACACATGCTGGACACCATCTGAGCCAAACAAGGTTATCTTAGGCTCATCAGACCACAGGACATGGTTCCAGTAATGCATGCTCTTGGACAGGTTGCTTTCAGCAAACTGTTTGCAGGCTTTCTTGTGAGCCAGCTTAAGAAGAGGCTTCCTTTGGCTTCAAAATGTTGGAAAAATAACTTTTTTTTTAGACTATAATGTCCACAACCAGCAGCAGAACTGCCTGCAACAGCAGTCTAAAGTCAATGGCTGCACTTTATCTCTCTCTTTTTTTCTGTCTGTGCCATGTTTCACAATCAGCCAATGCTTTTTTTTTTTTTTTACAGGGTTGCAGGAGGGCAGCCATATACTGCTCCACTTACTTCTAATTGTAATTCGATAGCGCATAATCTCAAATTTGTTACGCATCACATTTTATAATATGGTAATATTGTAACGGTAAGTGGCTGGCCGCACTTGGCCTGGACCGAAGCAGATGGCAGCGGCTTCCTCCTACCTCAGGTGATTAGGGAGACAGGTTTTGTGATATGAAACTCGGAAATAGAGTCCATAAAGGGTTCATCATCTCAGAGAGAGGAAAAAAAAGTTTCAAAGTGATGTAGTGTTTAAAAGCTTTTAGATGGTTTTTTGGGTGGGGAATATTGGGTTAGAGAGGTTTCTGGGAACTTGTATCAATATTTTATGAAAGGCAGAAACCTGTCGGAGTTCAGGCCACGGTTCTACATCGATAGCATCAAATGGACCAGCAGTGATATTTCTCATCTTTATTCCACTTCAACAGGCACCTCTTGCAATTTTAAGATGAAATAAGGTTTTTTTCACACCATTGACCTGAAAATGCAAAGTTATCTGGGTGCTAAAATGCACATTACTGTGTATAATGTATTTACCAAGTGACTAGAATTATTTGAATCGGTTCACCCTAAATCATTCAGATTTGTTCACTGATTTGTTCGTTACGTCATTTGACCAGTAAGTGAAGACTATTTGTTTGTATGTTATGAATAAGTATTTGAAATATTACCTGAGTCATTTACAAAAAAAAAAAAAAAAAACTATTATTATTGTCATTTTTATAATAAGATATTCCAGTTTAAACATTATAAATATTTCCCCAAAATTAACTTTCCATTTTGTCAATTGTTGGGCTTGACTTTTATCAAACTTTTAAAAGGCAAAGTGATAACTGAAACTCATGGTTCTTTATTCAGGCTATGTACGGTCATCTGCCATTGTTCTTTCTGTTGTGCTAAACCTCCTATTGTTTTTCTTTTCCAGTGGGAGGAAGTAAGCGGCTACGACGAAAACCTCAACACCATTCGAACGTACCAGGTGTGCAACGTCTTCGAGTCCAACCAGAACAACTGGCTGCTCACCACCTTCATCGCTCGGCGTGGTGCTCAGCGCATTTACGTGGAGATGCGTTTCACCGTCCGAGACTGCAGCAGCATCCCGCGAGTGCCTGGGTCCTGTAAGGAGACCTTTAACCTGTACTATTACGAGACGGACTCCGTCATCGCCACCAAAGGTGGGGCGTTCTGGATGGAGGCTCCGTATTTGAAAGTGGACACCATTGCGGCGGACGAGAGCTTCTCACAGGTGGATTTTGGTGGTAGGTTGATGAAAGTGAACACAGAGGTGCGGAGCTTCGGTCCACTCTCGAAAAATGGCTTTTATCTGGCGTTCCAGGACTATGGTGCGTGCATGTCCCTGCTGTCCGTGCGTGTGTTTTTTAAGAAATGCCCCAGCGTGGTGCAGAACTTTGCAATCTTTCCAGAGACCCTGACCGGGGCAGAGAGCACCTCGCTGGTGATCGCTCGAGGGATGTGCATCCCGAACTCTGAGGAAGTGGACGTACCCATTAAGTTGTACTGTAATGGCGATGGGGACTGGATGGTTCCAATTGGGAGCTGCACCTGCAAGGCGGGATTTGAGCCGGATAACGGGAACGTGTGTCGAGGTAAGAGTTTTGGTTCCAGTAGTGTTGATCTTTGGTTCATATAAATATGTTTATTGATTTATTTAGAAGTGTTTTTAATGGATCTTTTTCAGTTAGTGGAAAGCAAAGGGTAGTCTTTGGTATCTTTCTTAGCTTTTCTAACTGACAAGATTTATCTTTGTTGAAAAGACCTTAAACTGTATGAGTTTCCATTTTATTCCAGGTTTATAGTGGTTTAGAGCTGGACTAGTACAGTATAGCCATGATATTTACCAAAAAATACGTTTTAGTAGTGGGCAGGCTGACTAAAGACATCTTGCTGGTTAAGCTAGTTGATAAGTGTGGACAAAAGCAACCAAAACCCAACATTTGCTGGTAACCCAGTGACCAAGCTGGTCTTATTTTCATGAGCTTTAGCTCTAGAAAGTTCTTTAGTAGCTTTGACTAATGAACTTCCTCTAGATTGAGTTGAGAGATATGTGCAGATTTGTGATTATTTGAGAAGATTTCTGAGCAACAGATTTTGAGTTTGAGTAGATTTATTCTGGATTAATATGGCGATGTGCACATGTGTTTGATATCGAAAGAGAGCGGAATGTGGTGTTGATGTTGGGTTGAATGATGCACGTTTTTTCATTCTTGTCTATATTTAGCTGGTCTCTTTTCATGTGGACACTGACAGACACAGACACACTCACACACATAATCATATTGTTCTCTCAAGGTCTGCAATTGGCCGATTTGGCCTTCACTCAAGGCCAGTGCCATATTGACTCCCTCAGGACCAAACATGTAGAGAAACGATAAGATTGATTGACAGCTATCTGTCTTGATCAATAAACAGATATGCCACTTAGTGTGTTAGGGCCAACTTTGAGGACCACAGGTGCCTCTACACATAAAAACACACATGCACAGGTGGCAGCTTTGTTGAGTTCGTTGACATCCTCAGGCAAGGTCTTCTTATCACAGAGAGATGGTCATGATGTCCATATAGTCCCTGTTCAAGACCTGTTTCAGACTGCAGACTCCTCAACTATAGGCTTTCTTATCCTATCTTTTACAGTGTATATATACACATTAATGCTTGGATTGGCTGTTATTTTGTTGTTTTTTACAGTATTTTGCTTTCACCTGGGTCTTGACATGTTGAAGTGAAGGCGAGGAAAAATGTTTAATAACAAAATGTATTAAAGGAACAAGTGTAGTTAAAAATAATATAGGTGTAAATGGACAGAAACATACCAACAATTGCTGGAAGTGATGTCGGATGTCTTCTGGAATGCTCAGTGATCTGGAAGAAGTGATAAAGTTGTCATAAACTTAGATTAAAGTTTAAAGATTAAAGATGGTTGAGGTTGTGCAGGGTGTTAGTGTTTGGTGTAAAGTCTGTCATCTAGATGTGGCCAGTGTGTTAGCGGATTAACGATTTCGCACACAGCAAGTCACCACTAATTACTGCCGCTTTGATCTGCGAGTTCCCATAAAGGCTTTTGATGGGGTAATATATTGCAGTCTGAACATGCACACACACATTACATTCTTATAAAGTTTCCATAAATTCCCCAGGGTTGATTTTACCAGCACAGGCAACCTGGGGTAATAAGTATTCCTTTAATGTTCATTAGTCTGTTTTTGTTGATGGTCGTCTGGTTCCAAAGCTTCCCACCCCCCTCTGCTTTCATTGGTCGTTTTGGACCTGGAGAGGGTGATTAGAGGTTGATTAGAGTAATTGGTCTTTTGGGTTAATGAAGGTATCTGAGCTATTATAAATGTGTCTCAAAGGAAGTCTGAGCAGCTTTGTGTCTTGGAAGGGATTACAGCATACGACTGACTACATAGTCACATTACACACTATGTGCTGCCTACTGTTTTTTTTGTTGTTGTTGTTGTAAAACTAGTTAAAGCGAACAATATATGCCACATTGTCACATGACCTCATTATGCTTGTCAGATAACCTCATTAGGATCATATTTAATTTTGTGAGTTGATTATTAGAAATAAATATGAATTGTTTGCTTTTTAATTCAAAATTGTGTACACATTTCTTCAATTTTGGCACTTTGATTAAATAGTAAATCAAGAAATATGTTAAAAATCACCATTGCTATTACTTATGGTACATTTTGGTGTACTGCAAACACTGCAAAGTAATTTTATTACTTTTTTGTCTTATTTTCTAGTATGAAAATGGCGATATTAAGTTTTGTTTTCTGAAAAAAGTATGGAAATTAAGTGAGGTTTATGCTTAAAACAAGAAAAATAAATGGCCTATGAGGTAAGAAAAAAAGAAGAAAAAAACCCTGCAAAAGCAGGTTTATTTTTTATCCCATTAGTATATATTTTTTCCATAAACATAAAACGGACTTAATTTCTCAAGAAACAACACATATGTTCTTTTGGAACAAAACGTCTCGGTTACGGATGTAACCCTCGTTCCCTGAGTAGGGAACGGAGACGTTCCGTCGGATGACGACGAATGGGGGTTTCGCTTAGAAGCCAATCAACTTCAAGTACTTCAAAACGAGCCAATGGCAAAGAAATGCCATGGGTCTGCGGAATTTGCATAGCGTAACTCCGCCTCACCTCGTGAGTATATAAGGAGAACGCTGGCAGCAAACCGGCATGTTTCTTCGCTGAGGAGCCAACCTGAGTTCAGGCGATCCCCGCGGTACAGCGGAAAGTGGCAGGAAGACGGAACGTCTCCGTTCCCTACTCAGGGAACGAGGGTTACATCCGTAACCGAGACGTTCCCTTTCGTTGTCACTCCGAGTTCCGTCGGATGACGACGAATGGGGATACCAGTCTAATCACGCCACTTCTCGGCTGTCTTCCAGTGCCCTGCGTAAATCTGAGATCCCTGTCGTGAGACTAGCACGGACGAAGGACTCCTATTTAACACAGGAATACCAAGGTACACTGGGGAGCATATCCCAGGTCTTAGGGAAGTATGCAATTACTGCCAACCCAGAGGGGGGGACTTAGAAATACACATATGACCCGAGGGATGCATATGGGGAATCACTGGGGTATCCAGCCGCAGGTGGAATATTTCAACCCCAGGGGTGGCAAGGTGGCTTGCCAAGGGAAAGACACATGCTCAGAGAGGCTTACAGTGGGAATACACATGTGGGGGTAGCTCCGGGAGGTACCATGCACACGGGAGGCACCTAGCCGACGCGCAGGCAAGAGACACTGGCGCCGACGTCAGGAGTGCTGGAGGAACTCAGGGCTTTCGGAGAAGCTCACCTGAGGAGAATATCGCACGTATCCAGTCCGTGGAGTGGAGTGGCGAGCAAGCGAAGACACCTGAGCGGGTCCGGTACTAGCTGGTTGAAGCGAGTACATGAGAGGACACTGGCTCCACTCGGAGATTGTAGAATCTGGCGAATGTGTTAGGTGTCGCCCAGCCTGCAGCTCTGCAGATGTCTGTTAGCGAGGCGCCATGCGCTAGAGCCCAAGAGGATGCCACACTCCGGGTGGAGTGGGCAGTCACACCAAGGGGGCACGGTCGACCTTGCTGCTGGTATGCCAAAGCAATGGCGTCCACTATCCAGTGAGACAACCTTTGCTTGGAGAGAGCCTTTCCCTTCAGCTTCCCACCATAGCAGACAAAGAGCTGGTCTGAGGTCCTGAAACACTGCGTTCTGTCTACATAGATGCGGAGAGCACGTACTGGACAGAGCAGTGCCAAGGCTGGGTCTGCCTCCTCCGGGGGCAGCGCTTGCAGGTTCACCACCTGGTCCCGGAAGGGAGTGGTAGGAACCTTGGGCACATATCCAGGCCGGGGTCTCAGGATCACGTGAGAGTAAGCCGGCCCGAATTCCAGGCACGCTTCGTCAACGGAGAATGCGTGCAGGTCCCCTACCCTCTTGATGGAGGCCAATGCAGTCAGAAGCGCCGTCTTCATTGACAGGAAGTTAAGCTCGACTGACTGTAAAGGCTCAAAGGGAGCACTACGCAGGGCGGATAAGACCACTGCGAGGTCCCAAGAGGGAACGAGAGGAGGGCGAGGAGGATTCAGTCTCCTCGCTCCTCTCAGGAACCTGACGATCAGGTCATGCTTCCCCACCGACTTACCTTCTATAAGATCATGCTGTGCGGCAATAGCGGCGACATAGACCTTGAGGGTGGAGGGAGACAGCCTTCGCTCCAACCCCTCTTGAAGGAAGGAAAGCACGACGTTGATCGAACATCTCCGGGGGTCTTCTCGGTGAGAAGAGCACCAGTTGACGAAGAGGTTCCACTTCAACGCATAGAGGTGTCTCGTGGACGACGCTCTAGCGGAAGTGATGGTAGCCGCCACCGCTGGTGGCAGGGTACTCAAACCTGCCTCGTCCCGTCCAGGAGCCATACGTGGAGGTTCCAAAGATCGGGACGAGGGTGCCATAGGGTGCCCCGTCCCTGAGAAAGTAGGTCCTTCCTCAGAGGTATGGGCCAAGGAGGTGCTGTCGCGAGGAGTACAAGTTCGGAGAACCAGGTCCGGGTGGGCCAGTACGGCGCGACCAGAGTGACCTGCTCCTCGTCCTCCCTGACCTTGCGCAGGAGTTGCGCAAGAAGGCTCACTGGGGGAAACGCATATTTGCGGCCCCGCGGCCAGCTGTGTGCCAGAGCATCCGTGCCGAGCGTGCCCTCGGTCAGGGAATAATACTGGGCGCAATGGGTCGAGTCGTGAGAGGCAAACAGATCCATCTGTGCGTCCCCGAACTGGTCCCAAATCAGCTGAACCGTCTGGGGATGGAGTCGCCAATCTCCGGGGAGGGGCTGAAGCCGTGACAGCTCGTCGGCTGCACAGTTCAGGGCTCCAGGGATGAAAATGGCTCGAAGCGACCTCAGATGCTTCTGACTCCATAAGAGGAGGTGGCGGGCGAGTTGTGACATACGGCGGGAGCGCAGACCACCTTGACGGTTGATGTACGCTACGGTCGCGGTATTGTCTGATCGGACTAGTACATGCTGGCCCGAGAGCACGGCTCGGAAGCGGCGCAGGGCGAGCTGTACAGCCAGCAACTCGAGGCAA